GCTCACAAAGCCTTCACGGATTGATGAAATTGCGCACACTGATTACAACTAAAGTTTTTTTCAGTCCATTTCTTTTTCATCTGAAGGGAGGGGAAGGGAAAGTCCCTGCCAACCAGTCGGCCAACTGGCTTCCTCACACACATGACAGCGCAGCAGCCCCAATAAAGTCAAAAAGGTTGTTGCAGAGGCCACAGCACAAGATGCGCAGGGGTTGCCCCTAACATCACGTGTGACACCTGGAAAAGAGGGCGTCCAAGCGCTCTAGGTGTCGCCCAGCTGATTTTTTCGAAGCGCTTTCCTGAGGCGCAGCCATCTTTTTTGCTCCTACCGCAGGCATGTGGAAGTGGTTTCAGTGGGGCTTTCTTTACAGGCTGGAAAGCACCCTGCCCTTGACAGGCAGCCCTTGGTCCCAATACACAGGGCAGCCCTGCGCTTCAAGGGTTGCTGCTTTGGTGCATCATTGGCGACAAGGATTTCCACTTTGATGCCTTGTCTTTGTTTCACTGGGCATCATGCAACCTGTGCTGGGGGCGCGATGCCTAGCTTATACGGAACGCGCCCAAAAAGACGACCGTCCACAGAGGTCATATCACACCCGGACTCCTTGTAGGTTTTCAGTCGAAAGAAATGAGACCAATTTTTCACTATTGTGTGGTAACGTATGTTTAATTAGAAAACAAGACGCTGGGGCTGGGGAACCATCCCAAACACATTCAAAATCAGTTTTGACTTCGCAACGCGGGTTCCTTATTGGGAGCGAGGGGCTGCAGCGCACGCTAAAACCTGTTTTTCCACACATAGAACCGGTCCGCGCGAATTCAAAATCAGCTTTGAAAAGTCTGCCGCGTCCGCCGCCTTTTTTTTCAACACAATCAGTTCGTCGTCAACGGCTGGGGCCCTTTTTCAAAACTTTTCCAATTTTGCAGAAAAAGAAATATAAACGCTAGAGAAATTCTCCACCGGCTTTGCAAGCATCAACTGGGGTAGGAAGATTGAAGCATCCACCACTGACTGCATTGAAGACTTGGAATCTTTACATTCCGCTACAGTTTCACTGCTTTCATATATTTGCACTCCTGCGCGGTTTTCTTCTCACTTAGCAGGGTCGGCGGCGCCACATCCTGCCTTCTGATCACCCGCTGCCCCAAAAGGGCAAAGGTTGGTGGCCACGCCTCCCGTCCATCATCCGCATTACCATCCAGTTTGCCAACGCCTTCCCCGGCCATTGCCCAAACCCAGCATCAGAAAAGTTTTGCCTCGTACCCTCACAGGCCTCTTCTCTGTAACTGAGCCTGCCACTTGCAATATGCTGGCTCAATTCTTGTCCGTCAAGCCGCTTCCAGCATTTGCTTCCAGCCCAGGCAATTTTCGAGGGCTCTTTCATTCGTTCCCTAAATTTTCCCACGCAAGCAAATGATGAGAGGTACCATTTACTGCATTGCCTTTGCAGCGCCAAAAGCGCAAGAGCTTAATGTCCGATGCCCACGTTGGGCCTTGGAGCCCGACACACATTCATTTTCAGAAGGGTGACCCTCTCCCATCCTTCTAGGGAGGGCGAAGCTGGGGATCAAATTTGCTTCTTGGAAGAGCAAGTTACTACCCTTCTGGCGACAACATCACCCCCCCTTTCATATCCTCTTGTTCTTCATTGCGAGCAGATCCATGAGCACGTCGCGAGAATCTTGGGTCTGGTTGAGCTGCGCGCCACCACACCAATGGGCGATAGTAGCGATAGTCTTCAAACAAAAACTTCAAAAACACCTTGTCACCACCATGGTACATAACGTGAATATAAAGCAGCTTCTCGTATCCTTCCTCTGTCCCTCTAGGCACCTGCAGATTGCCGATATTGCGGCTTCCCCACCACAACTGCCAAAAACCGCCCGCACCGAAGGTGCCGAGGCGTTGTGGAGGCTCGCACAACCGCAGGAAATCTGCCAGATAAAATCCCAAGCTTTAGCTTGGGGGGGGGCCTTACTTTTGCTCGGGACATGCTGTGTTTTGTAGGGATTTTCGAAGGTTGATAGAAAGTTGATATGGTTTTGGACCAAACGTTCGCGACGTCGGTTATGCCGGCCGACATCGCGGACGCATATGCACCCCGGGGAAAACTGCATTATTGACGTCGTGGCCCGACCGAGACACGGACTGACAGACCGAGATAGACAGACCGAGACAGACACACCGAGACACACACACCGAGACAGACAGACCAAGACAGACAGACCGAAACAGAGACTGAGACAGACAGAGCGAGACAGACAATTGACATCGTGGGTGTGTTCGTCCGTGTGTCCTGCCCGACCGAGATGCAGCACAGACCGAGACAGACAGACTGAGACACGCTTGAGCCCGGTTAACATTTCCTCCCGGCTCCGAGAGCACAAGTTGCTAGTTCCCGGCTCTGCGAGTGCAGGTTGCTGCCGAGCCGGTAGGGTGCTAATGACACACTTTTCCCATATTATATATATATATATGGATGTGTGTCTGCATGTATACGTCTGTATGTGTGTGTGTGTATATGTTTTTCCTTTACTCTGCGCGGGCGGCTTCGACCGCGAAGCGGCGTGAATATAAAACAACATTAGATCCAGGGGCGGGCCAACCTCCTTTAGCTGGCTCTATTTCCCAGCACAGGGAGAGCTTTTCTCTTGCCGCCGATAGGCCGGCTGTGGGCTCGGGGGACGCCTGTGGCCGCCATGACAGAGCAAAGATGAGAAGTGTGGACGAGGGTTTTTTGGTGCACATGTGGCACATGCAAACCCAAGTCTTTTTGGCTATAGATAGGTGCCACAGATATCAACCGTGAACACTCTATCATAACGAAGATGGCCTTGTCTCCTCGCACCGAACCCTCAAGAGATTCAACGTGTTTGTTTAAGGCTTCAACATGCTTCAACATTCCCTACCTAGATCATCTTCATCTATCCTGGAATCTGTTCAATTGATTTCAGTTGAACAGAGGACCAAACAGAGAGGCCCTTGATGCAGACCCACCTGTCCACCAGTGCATGGTCCGGACGCCGACCCGATGTATAGAGGATCGATGAGGATCGATGAACCACTGGGTCGCCAAAATTTTCGCCCTGCAGCAAGCGGCGTCGCGTGAGGTCTGTTTTAGGCGGACGCGATTGCGGCTGTTTGCGAGGGCCATGGCTGACTATGGGATCTTCACTCAAAGCCACGTGGGTTTTTCACCGTTCCCTTCGAATTGATTGAAGTTTGGAGAAAACAATGCAAAAATAGTTGCAAAAACGATAAGCCGGGTCTAAAGACCCAAAAAGTTTAGAAAGGCAAAGTAACATTTCCAGTCAATGATACGTGAGTTCGCGTGGTTTGGAACCCAGAGCAGGGCCTTTCCCGTTGTACAGATGGGCGCCGTTTCGACCTTAGAGGCGAGATGCGCCCTGAAGCGGGCAGACGTGACCTGGCAACAGGGCGTTGCCAGCACTCGATCCCTTAAAGATCTGACAAAAGAAAACTCATGGATTATGTGTTTTTGCTGATCCTTTTGAAGGGACTGGCAATCGCTCCATTGATCGGTGTATCAAGCAAGCCAGGGCACCTAGTGGCAGCGCTCGAAAAGGGCATGTCTGGCGGCCAGGATGTGTCTCAGAAGATTTGCCACAACGGGTTCAAAGTGAAAGGGTTCTCATGATTGTGCACGCAGGGCGGCCTTGTGCCAGCCTTGCAGATCGCAGCACTAAGTGATAAAGACACCCGGTAGACTGATGTCGGTGGATCACACCACGACAGCTGTCAGTTTGCAATTCCGCTTCTGTAAACCTACAAAACACCTACCAACAAGACTTGAAACTGCTAAGACGATGGGCTAAATCAGGGTCTTTGTTCTTCAGCTTAGTGTCACGCATGCAGTGCCTATGTGCATAAAAAAGTTTGGCATTTGCTTGCCCTTTGTGCAAAGTCCGACTGCTTTATACATATTTTGCAGCAACGGACAGGGGAAGTTGAGTTGGTCCAACTGACTTGTCGGACTTACTATGTTTCTGTTGTTTGAACTTGCCAATGACAAGTCAGTTTCAATAATGTTTCATTTATCCAGCCTAGTCAGCGTAGACTTTTACCAAAGGACTTCGCAAAACAAATATAAAACTGCCTTTCCTTGCTCCCATGTTCAACGGTCGGCCATATTCTTTGTCACTACCGCTCCGCCATGAGGCCCCCTGAGGCCGAGAACCTTCTCGGTCACGCAAATGGTCGGGGGCCTGAGCAGCGATGCGGGCCATGGGCGGTGCTTGCAGCGCGTGCCGGGCAGTGTGTATCAGTGGAGTGGAGTTGGTGTTGTCTCCAGAGATAAGGAAAATTTTAGAAGGTGGAGCAGGCGTTGAAGATGATAATCACTCTTGACTATATGGATTTTGAGGGGTTGTTGTTTGACCACGTGTGAGCAAACCCAAATTTGTAGCTTTCTATATTTGTTTGTGGCTGTTTGAAGGTTGTCGGACTTCAAACGTTTTCAGTCTCACTTGGACTTCAATAACGATTTGATTGAATTTTCAGGAAATTACATTGTAGCCCCCCAGAGATCCTTGCCCCTGCTTCAGGTTGGTTGTCCAGGATCGTTGGTTTTCCAGGATCATGTGTGTTTGTTGCTTCAGAAAGAGTCAACCACGTTGTAATGACGACTTTTGATCCACATACAAAACTATTAGGTTGGAGGCCATCGCTATTGGGGGTTGGAGGCCATTGCTATTAGGTTGGAGGCCATCGCTATTGGGTTG